ACAGTAACAACGACACAACACACTTATTTGCCGTGCGTCCAATACCTCTGCAGTTGTAGCATGTAATTTGACCTCTAAAGAAATTTAATACATAGGTTGAGTCTGTGAGGTTATGATTTACAGTAAAAAGTTGCAATAAAGCGATGATCGTGGTAATGATTTTAATCTATTAGCAGGTATAGTCCCAAGTCAATTAGGTTGCACGATTCAAACACCTCAACTAAAATTATGCCTATGAAATCAACTTCTGTGTTTCAACATACTATATATCATGACCCTTTCTAACCTTAAATATAATTCTAAATGAATTCCGGTTAGTGTCACCGCCGGCGACAAATATATTATTTCTTAATCGTTAAATAATCTTCAGAGAATGAGAATAATTATTGTTGAAACTATTACAGGTAAATAAACTGTCAATGAAAACTCACGTTGATGAATATATCAATAACTAAAGTTGAATTTTTTGGCATTTAAATTAGTCATTATAATCAGTGATGGACAATTCTTTAAATTGATTTGTTAGATTGAACTTTATAGGTTAAATGTCTTAATTTATGTAAGTTTTATACATACCTAGATACTATAATTTCTTTATGTTTTTGAATAAAATAGTATAAATTTTACAATTGTTAGAGTCTTATTAAAAGCTCATATCTACAAGCATATCCTTATGACATTTACAATGAAAAATTTATTAAATATATTACATTGTCTAGGTAATTATACTATCTTTTTTAATAACTAAAACTTATTTTTAACAGATAATGGATTATAAAAGAATATAAAATATTTTTAAAGTAAAAATTATTATTTATACAGTAAAAAGGTGTCAAACTTTGAAGCGTGATTTGTATATTTAATCCATCAAGATCTAAGTATTGTAACGATTTAATTTTATAATCCTACCCTTTTTGGTGTAATTGATTATCTAACTAAATTATTATCGTGATTGTTAAAGCCCTCGAAGGAGGCGTGTGCATATTGACATGAGGCTAACACGATAGCGTGGTCATAAAGTAGGTTCCAGAATGTGTTCTCTTTCATATTAATCAAAAATGTATAAAAGTGAAGCATTTATTCTAATAAACGGAAGAACCTCGTTCTCATAATAAAGTAACATAGACATAATGATATTCTCTCCTTAATTTCACACCATCATATAGAAACCTTTTATTATTCAATCCACCTAACTTCTAGTAGTACATTGCGCATTCATGGTGCGTCGCTCTCCCAAACCAACCGTTACAGTATTTGAATGCTTTAAAGTGAATTTTTATTTTTTATTTACCATCCCAATTTCAAAGAACTTTTTTGTATATAGAAATTTCATTATAACAATAATGTTTAAATAAACCAAATCTTTGCTACAGCTGGTGAGCTTTAGTATAATTTAATAAATTCGATGAAATAAAATTCAGTTAATACAAATTTATTTAGTATATATTATTAAAAAGTTCATGGCCATAAATAATGCTAAGGATTTCAAGTAGAAAAATTACTATTTGGACATTATGTAAATCGAGGATCAGATTAATTTATATAAATTAACGAGAATATGATGCTTTTAGAGCAGTTGGATATGATCTTGACATGGCCTTAACTGCAGGGTATGAAGAAGCAGTAAAAAATGTTGAAATCGCAAGAGCAAGAGTCAGTAAGAGAGTTACGATTTTAAAAATACATGGGTGAAATGTTGCAGTAGAGCTGACTCAATCAAGACATGAAGGTCTAACCGGTCGTGATAAGGAAATTGAAATGGCAAAGCAGGCAGCATTAATGAAGAAAAATAAAATAAATACGCAAGGCAGTGAGAACAGATTTTTTTTCACCCATACAGGCAAACAACAGGTATGGACATTCAAGAAAATGAGACGGTAGAGGTCAAATTACATGCTACAACTGCAGAGGTATTGGACGCACGGCAAATAAGTGTGTTGTGTCGTTGTTACTGT